ACCAAGCAAGTTTTTGTTAATACATAACACACGACCTTCTTCAAATATTCGAGAAAGTACATAAACAAGTTTGTCATACGAACATAAAACTAAAATATATGCATGAAAAATTATAATCAAATCAATCTGTGTTCAATTAATGAGTACATAAAAAATATGGGAGAGACTCTACCTTTCTCTTAAGAGTAACTTTTATATTAAAAGCTTAATCACAAAAGTTTTTTTCTGTCATATGGTTCTTTCAATTATTTTGGGCAGAAATACATTTTGTCTTTTCATTTTAAACAATTGAAAACAATTTTGTTTAGTCTTTGTTATTAGAATAAAGTACACATTTTTTCTCTACATTATTTCCAAAAGGTGAAAATTATTCCCTTACTCTTCAGATTAAAACCATATATTCTATCTGTTATCGGTATTTGGGAATCAATATCCTTCTATAATAATGCTTCTAAGTAAATGGTTTTCCAGGCAAATACACAAGAAGAAATATTATTAACAAAAATAGACTTACCACTTTCATTAACAATATAATATGATCGCCATGGACGAGTAGCACTGTTTTTCTTGATTGTTTTTGGAAGAGAAGCTTGAATTCCACCACTATGAGCTATAAAAGATCGAAGAGATGATATATTGTTAACCAATTGATCAAATTCAGAATTCTTTTTTGTTGTAGCTTCCCATGCCATTTCTAAAGCTGTTGAACAACGATGGGCCATACAAGGCAAACGTATTTCATCTTTTAAGGAAGCTTTAACATTAGCACCCTCGTCCGTTGTAATCGGTGTGTCTCCAATAATTAAATCAAATTCATTGAAAATCGATTCAATTTCATTCCATAAATTGATGGCATTTTTACTTTGCTCTTCGAAGTGTTTACATCGAAGAAGTGCATGATGTTGTTGCCAATTTTTATCAATCCAGCTAAAATAATAATTCAATATTAAAATATATGTTAATTGCTTGTGAGCGATAATGTTTCAAAAATTTCAACTTCTTTACGACCTATGATTTTCTCATCGATGTCAGAGAATGAAACCAACTCAAACTGAACTGTATAGATAATTTTTATATTTATTTCTTAAACTGTTTTGAAAATAATAAGTTTTTACGTACATAACATAACTATTTTGGATATAGATGATCCATTGAGATCATAAATACTACTAAAAAAAAAACAAGATTAATTTATCTTGACATTATAAACAATTGCGGTAGGTACTGAAAAGCCTAAAAAATATTGATATATTTACATAATCCTCTGTAAATATATTTCTTGAGGTCTTTATACACTTACTAGAAATATTTTAGTATTAACATTCATTTTATTGTTTTTTTTATGTTGCAAATATTTATCTTTTAGAGCTTAATCTTTAGTAACTAAATCGAGATCAATGTTAAAAAAGAACATAAATATGGTTTATTGCTTGATGTTTCATTCCGCTCGCGCATATATATATATATAACGGCACAGTTGGTGAATTTGATCATTGATTTATACTTATTTTAATAAAAACAATTTTATCAAATAAAATAATAATGAACTCAGCAACGATTTTAATTTTATTTGTCGTTTGTCTGCATCAAATAGTTGCTGTAACAGGTAAGATTATGTTTTTTTTTTCTATAGATTGTAACCCAATATTTCACTTAAATGAATTTTAATTTATTGTTTAGATAAACATTCGAGTGTTTGGCAAATTATAAACAATGACAATAGACTTAAAAGGTTAGCTATGGCCTTAGCAGTTGCTGGTTACAACGAAGGAAGCCAACGGGATATTTCAATGACTGTGTTTGCTCCAAATAATGCAGCTTTTGAAAAAGTTCCTACTGATATTACTCAATATTACTCAGATCCTGCAAATAGGAATGAACTTGCTGAATTGCTTGCATATCATGCTGTTACTAATAGAAGCTTGACTTCAAGTGAACTACTTCGAATGGATCTACCAGCACGTTTAGAAACACTTATGGGTGGTTTTATTACAGTTACTAAACAAGATAATAAAATCCATATCAATGATGCAACAGTGATTGAATCTGATATATTGGCTAATAATGGAGTCATTCATATTATTGATTCAGTTTTGATGCCTATTAAATCAAGTAAATAAGAACAGATCCAGGAACTGAATAGTATATATTTCAAGTCTTATTTAGTATATTTGAGAAAATGGGACGCTTCAAAGATTTTCTATTTTAAATATAATAAATATGAATTACATTGTTCACATTTGGTTCCAACCTTCAAGTTTGATAAATAAAAAGGGGAAATGAATGAATTACTATGAGTCGATAGGAAATCTAGTTGTTACTGGTTCAAATATTGATTTTGAAGACTCTTTTCTTAGTTTGCTGGATTGAATCTTATTCATTAAGCGAATTCCTAGTTGTGATAATGACAAAGTCCATTGAATCATGCTGATGATTCAACGACTCTTACAGTTGAATTGATCGATATTAGTGATGGGGTTTTTTACCAGTTAACAATTGTATAATTCTAGCTTATTTCCTACGATGCTTGCATCATTTTATTAACTTTTAACTATAAGATTGATTGAATTAATAATAATTACGATTATAGAGGTGACAATTAAAATTAAATCGTTTTGAATGAGAAAAATTCTTGCTAAACCGAGTATCATATTGGTTGTTTGTCTATTGGAAAATCTATTTTTGATTATCTTCTTATTTAACGAACATGGTAATTAATTATCTTGAAAATTTGATGGATAAAATAGGGTAAGACTCTATATATAAATCGATCCAATTTGAAACCAAAAGGCAAGAGAATGAAACAAGAGATCATTGTTTTTATCAATGATTCAGCAAAAATCATAAATCGATGACGACTAATCTATTCAACATGTCAAAACTAATGATAAGGAGCATTTAAAAAAGGATTCTGCACGAGTGACTGGATTGATGTGTACATCCGAACAGGTAAGATCTTTGCCGAAACTATTTACTCATATGCACAAAATAACGAACCATAGAAAATTTTTCTATGAATTTCGTTTTTAAGATAGTATAGAAATAACTCATCGCATAAACTTAATTGTTTTCTTTATCTAATGTTTTTTTAAAGACAACTTTTCATAAGTAATTTGAAGAAATAAAAATAGTTAAGAGAAATTGAAAATTTTATCTGAAATAAAACTTTATTGAGTCTTTTGCATGAGCATACTCTAATAAAACAGACTAAAATTTTTCTTTTAGATCTTATAAAAAGAGTTTCATTAGACGTTGAAAATGAATAATCAAATTTTAAATAAATCATTTTTCTTTGAAACTAACAACTTAATAACTGAAATATTTTTATTTAATTCGAAAGCTTGTGCAGGATTAGTCATAGACGCGCATAATTTGCTTTAGAACATTCAAAACCTATTTCAATAAAATAAAATAAGTGCACTTCTCATTATAAAGTTTGAATGCAGTTGCAAGGCATTTTTCCATCGAAACATGTTCGTAAAACTTTTCAACTTTCAATAAGTGCATTGAACCAGACTTTTTTCACACAATTTCTTAATAATGATTTTGATCTTTCTAACAAGTAAATAGGCAAGTCTCAACAGTAATTCATTATTATGCTATTCTAAAAACCAAATTAATTCAAAATGTTTTACCCATTTGTTAATTTGAGTTTATCCATACGAAAATAATAATCAGAATTAGTTATTCTTACTGAATTATCATATAAATGTATTGAATATTAATCAAATGATTATAGTTTTTTTTCTCATAAAGAAATGAATTCTATATCAATCGTAGTAAACGTCATCATATTATTATACAAACTTTATTATCATCGTTTTTACATGACTCTATTAATCTCTCAAAAGAAAACAAATAGTAGTTCCATACTAGTAATTGATTCAGCGAAAGCCTCTACTAATTGAGCAAAAAGTTTAATTATGCACAAAATTTTCTTAGATAACATGGTAAGGATGTGATGAATAAAATGAGAGAATCAGTAATTGATAGGCAATTCATTTAAACCTAGTTCTTCTCAAATTAAAAATCTCCATCGCTATTTTGACATCATAGAAATAATATATATAAGAAATAAAAGGGCTTTATTTTTGTTAAATATGTATTTGGTGAAATAAACGCTTAATTAGATTTACAGCTATAGCTGCTCTCTATAAATGTTTATCATATGTTTTTAAGATTGATGATTAGAATTGAAGATTAAATTGAACTGTGGTCCGTATCAGTATTAATCCATCGTCACAAATTCAGTCGTTGGACTTGGTGTGTCAGTAAAAACCTCCATTGTCGAAGATGAAATCATAGTTGTTTGACTGTCTGGGACTGAATTTGTTGATGTCGTTGTTGAAAATAATGGTTGTTGGGTGGCTATTGTTGAATATAATGGTTGTTGGGTGCCTACTGTTGAAGATACTGATTGTCGGGCGCTCGTTGTCCGTCTTCCATGGCCATGTCCTCCTGGTCGTTGTGCCCATGGTCCACGTTCGAATTTTTCTGAACTTCCACTCTCATGATGTGAAGGCCGCCGCCATTGAAAAGGCTTTGGATTTTTAGGTGGGTTCCAATTTAGTCGATTTCCAGGTTTTCCACATGCAGTATATCCTATTATGACAACCGAACAAATGATAAAGAAGAGAAGCGAGAGATTATGCATAGTTTAAGTGATCGTTGAATATCGATTTAGGACAAATGTCGCGCTTGAAGGATGGCGTCTGGTCTTATAGTAGATTGAATCAGTCAAACGAAAATTTTCCAATCGAACGAAGACATGATTCATTGCTTTGATGAATATTAAGTAGACGTAACAAGTAATCGAATATTCAAATGACATTCAACGGGGAAATCGATATCTTTCTTCATAATTTGAGCACACTTCCTCTCTTCTCCCAATTGATTTCAACCCAAGCTGAAATTCGTGTTGTACTTTCTTGTTCCTAATACGTCTCAAAAGATTGCGCTTTGATCACCAGTTTTTATTTTATTGGGATTATTGGCATATGATCTAAATTTCGCCATCTGCCAGCTCTTACTGAGTGGAATAATAACCAATAGATTTTGTGTAAACTGAGAAAGAAATCACAACTCCAAATAAAATTCTATTTATTTCTAAGTACACTCGAATCTTTTTAGCTATTAGAATGCGTTCGAATACGAATTCAATTCTTTTTTTCATCTATGCGTTTGAGAGCAATGTTACTTACTCATCATAAGTTTATTTTACATCTCCTATTCCTAGATGCTTCATCTATAGATTTATGCAATGCACTTTGCTCTTTCAAATTAATTCATTTAAAGCGATATCAAGAAACTCTTCGACTAATTAATTGTCAAAATGCAGACTTATTGTTAGAGTAAAAATCTATCTCATCAATCTGTATTGATGCTTATTAAAGTATTTACAAATAGAATTAAATTCAGTATTAATTTGACACAACTATTATTGAAAGTTGTAGAAAAAGAATAGACATATAATTCTTTCTTTTTTATGTTTCTAGCGCTTATCATGAAATACCAAAAGTTGACCATTTAATTTTAACATTGGCCTCTTCTAGAGCTTGCAAGTAGTGTAGCTATTGAATAGAATCAATAGAGAAATGATAATCTATAATTGGTCTACGCGTGTTTCAACAGGAGGCGATTCAATTACTCATGTCAGAGAAAAAAATCGAAAAAAGTTTCAAATATATTTATCTTCAACATTATAGTTTTTTAAATATGTAATTTATCACAACTGTCATTTTGTTAGTCTTACTGAACAATGTATTCTTTTTCTAATAACTCTTAAAGAAAAACAAAGCAAATGTTGTAAGTCGAAATGGGATCTGTTCGAATTTAATAGGATTTCTAAAATTTCAAATTTGATTCGATTGAAATTAACTGAGTTGAATATAAGAAAAAAACTTTCAAATATTGAACTTTTTCGATTAATATGAAATTAAACAAGCTACATAGAAAAATTCAGAGTTTGAACGTATTTTAAAAACAATGGTTTCTAATAAGACAGGAAAATAGCCAAAACATCATCAATACTTTAAAACATGATGATTATAGTTTTAAAGAAATGAAATCACTACAAAATTACCATGATAGATTAAGGAAATTCTATCTGTTTTGAAGTAGCTCAATTGAAGAGATATATCTCTTTCATCATAGCAATAGTTAATTTGTCTAAATGTTCACTCTACTCAAGAACTTTGCTGCTGCCACCATGCAGCTACAAATTTGCTTGAATATTTGGTAAGATAGACAAGATAGTCTATTTCAAATTTGGTATTATTAATTAGCTATTGAATAATTTTAAATTTTGATTCTTTTTTTGTTTTTGGTACTAACTAATACGGTTATTATTTCAAATTGCATAGTGTCATGAATTATTATGAAAGTTAAAATACAATAAATAGTTAATGTCTTTTGTTAACAAAATTCAGATGTGATGAAATCTCTTAAAAATTCCAGAGATAGGGAAACAAATAAAAGACTTGCATGATAATAAGACATTTTTATACTTTTCTACTACGTTTTACCTTTTATGTAACAAAAATATTTAAACTTGTTGATTTCAATCAACGACAAAAAGTTTTATGCATTGAAAAAACATAAAGTTTGGATTAGTCAGTCTTACTGGAAATCAATTCAACTTTTCCAATATGACCGCATCTAAGAAGTTTGCTAATGAACTATATGAGCTGTATCATATAGTCTATTAAGTTTCGATCTCGCTTGAAAATGTTTTAATCAACATAAAAAAAAGAGATGAGCAAGTTATTGCTAGTCTAATCAGCACGTATATTTATTATCATAAAGCTAGAATAAATATACAACGTTCGAGAATAAACATATAACTTAAGAACATATTCATACTATCAGTAAGGCATACAATTATTCTGAAATGAAAAGATAGATAGAGTTCTCGTTGCTGCGTAAATATGGGTGTGGATGTTATAGAAACTCAAGAGTTTTGATTTAGATACACAAGCCAGACTTACATCAGGTTTCGACCTTGCTGAAGAGTCATCATTAGGTAAGTTTAGTATTTAAATATTACTACAAATCGATCGTAGTTCAAAACAGAAGTAGCTCTATAAGAGTTTTCAGACAAAAGTTGAAACTCTCAACAAACATCCACCAATTTTTGAAGTAGGATCACAGCTATTTTAAATTAACTAAATTTTCAACAAGAAAATAAAGTTGAAATAAAATAGAAGACGTCGCAGCTAATAAATCAAGTATATGAGTAGATTCAAGAATTATATGATGTATATAAGATTGGGATTTATTTATATACTGAAGCTATACTTACAACCGGTTTCGACCTTGCTTGGGGGTCATCATCAGATAAGTTTAGTATCTATGTATTACTACAAGACGATTGTAGTTCACAATAGAGAATGTGGGTGTTCTTATCATGCACACTCGTAACGACACCCTACACACCCACACCCTCGACATCACATTATCAACTGATTTTTACTCTGATAGTTGCCTTTAACTTCAGTCAAAACAGGGTGGTATGGGTGTGGATATGACTATCAGTGGGGTGTGAGTATGCATGAAGAGAATATCTTCATCTATATCTCATATCCACCCTAGATTAGTCTGTTTTTCAATGAAGTTACGTATGTTAATGGCTTAGAATACTTTTTATTGAATTCAATACTTCATCATCGTGTGGATCAGTTCGATTTGTTTCTTGAGCAGCAGATGTCTTGGAACAATATGTACTACTGATTTTGTTTCACAATATGAAAAACAATGGCAATGATCTTATATGAATGAAACTAATGGCTTGAAAAAGTTGAATTCTTTTCGAACATGATAAATGATCTATTTTGAAATACAGAAAACATTATTAGAGAATACTTCCTATTCCCAAAATTTACACATTCCTGCATCGCCTTCTGACATGCAATCCCTTACCATCAATTCCGGAAAAGCAAAAACGACCCTTTCCCTCAAAAAAATGCAACAACCCGNAAATTAGTTACTTTTTTCCGGTAGTTACTTTTAAAAGTAACTACTTTTTGTACAGTGCATAATTCAGTTTATGAATAATATCAAAAAATGACGTTGCGAGCAAAGTTATAGCTGAAGTCAAGATCTACAACTTAGCAAATAAAATATTTGATCAAATGTATTAAACTATTGTGAAAACCATTGAACACCAAAAAGGACGTCAAAAGTAACTAAAAGTAAATGTGCCACCCCTAGTTGTAACTTTCATTTGGATGGTATTGTTCCCTACTATCACTCTATATCAATTAGCTATTAACTTTTTAGTTTACCTACAATGGTTTTGGTAAAGTTCTGTGTCTAAGTCATAACTTCTATAATATTCCGTGCCCAAATAATAAATTAAGCAAACATTATTATTTCAACCCCATATATTTATACTCAAGGGTTTAAAGTTCATACTTTAAGATAAGAGATACAAAAAGAAGTGAAACTTTCACAATGAACTAAATAGTCACATTGAACATTTTATTTATCTAAAGCTTCAAGTCGAATTTCGAATTTCAATATTCAATATCTCAAAAATTAAGCCTCAAACAACCGAAACATGTTAAACATTTTAATAATTCATTAAGACTGATAGGATGAACAAAGTCTCGATCAAAAATCGATTTAGTACTTTGAAATATTCTCTGTGAGAAGTAGGCGACGAAGTCACTTACCTTGAGTGGAGAAAAATGCATATCATCAAAGTATATTTTGGATTCAGTCGGTAGACTATTTGATTGAGCTTCAGTAATCGCTTGAAGTGGCTTATGAATACGCTTTAGATCTGAGTCCATGTTAATTGTAGGCGCTGCTGCAACCTTCGGATTTTAGATCAGCTTTATAGATATAGCGAGAAGAAAAACGAAATGAACCTTTTCCGATTTTACGAATGTAAGAATTGCCATAATTAAAGTTTGATCAGCACAAAAGACAAATTCTTGAACAAGTAATTTTAAGTATCTGAACGACAATTCATTTCATTTCATGGAATCATTGTCAAAAATATGACTTACTTTATATGTGTAGTATTCGACCGTGCTATTGTTGTTCTGAATAGACTCAATTCAATGAACGATTTTCCAGCTATAGAAAAATAGAAGTTCTTGTCGCAATATGACTATTGATCGAAATGAAACATACGTATATCGGTGCCTGCTGCTTTAGAAACAATTGGATTAAGAACAACCGGAAACAGAGCGAATTCATGTTCATTGTCAATTTGTACACGATTGATGCGAACATGAAATGCAGCATTGCTCGTCGACCAAGCAAATCCAATCCAGAGTCCATCAAGTACTTGTCGTTTAACAAGTACTCGATGACCTTGATGGTCAGTCAATTCGGCAGTATAATCATCGAAAGAGACATCCTATTCGCAGATTGATTAACATGCTATTAAATGATCAGACGAAAAAGTCTTACGCGATGTTCGTCAATACGATATTTCTTGTTTGCAAAATCTTCATCATTCGGATGAGCATTTTGATCTTTGAAATACAATTCATATTGCTCATCCAAATGTTTATTGAGATTGTGAGAAAGTGGTTTTATATGAGACTTGCTTGTTTCCATCCAGATCTCTTTGGATTTACCTATACTGATATAAAACAAGTCGTTTCGAGCGATATCATCGATAATCGCAATGCCAATATCACGAATGCCAATTTGTATATGCTGATTCATGGATTCACCCAATGATGGTATCTGAAATGAAAACCAAATATATAGGCTAGTATTTTGAAACAATAAATATTAAACGCACATTTGTGACTGCTTCAATAAGATTCGTTTCTTCAGCGAAGAGTAATACTGTTTGAGGACCATCGTGAAATATTGCATAGTACACAGATTGTCGGTCGTTTGTTTCGAGAACACCACAAAGTGGCTAAAAAGCGAATGAATTATATCAGGCATAAAAAAGCTTGTAAGAATAACATTCAGCTTTAGAAAATCTTAGATTGACATTTTGCTCGCAGGATTCAATACTATCCATCTAATCGGATGGTTGTGTGGATATTCGAAATAGATTTCTTTCTTTGCACACTACATCATAGAGATTTTTCTCATTGTATCAAATTAGTGTCATGGTCCCATTCATTATTGCCGATGGATAAAGGCACAGTCCAATCTTATATGATACCCATCCTTTACTTTGATATTCATGCACTTACAATCTGATCCTTAGTTTCACTGATTGCGAGCTGCTCAAAAATAAACTGATTACTAAAATAGTGTACAATACCACCCAGATCTGCGCTTTTTTGTCAGCCATAAGAGCAATGTCCGAAGCGTGCATCTGTCTAAGATCCCTTAGATTCAAACACGCTTGATCATGGACACTGCTGAAGTGAATTTGTTTTCTTTGTCTATTTTAATGATTTCTAAAATAATCCATACTCGGATTGACTTACGTTAAGTTCGATTGATACACTTTGATCACGACACGCAACAACTAATGCTTGCGATTTCGTCGGGTCGATCCATGTATAATAGACGTAATGTAGTGGTGGCAAGACTTGCGTTCGTCTATTCTAACAAATTTGTTTTTTTTAGACAAAAAAAGAGAAATGAAAAACTTACACGTCATTTGCTTGACAGAATGCAACTGGTACATATTTCAAACAGTTGACTAATAAGACAGGCGAATCGCCGATCTTGTAATCTCCAAAAACGACACGAAACCCATCGAAATCAGTCGCAATAACTTCAACTTGAAGAGCCGGACGCTCTTCATCATCCATGCGCAGCAATGTTCGATGTTTTTGATTGAATGCGAATGCAGTTGACGATATTCGATTATGTGTATAACGAACATGCATGACAGCTCCTTCCATATTACTTGGCCAAAACGGAATAATCTGTCATATAGATGTCTGTGAGGAATGATGAACATTCTATTGAAGAGAAGCTTACCTCTTCAGGTTTTACTAATCTCCATCGTTCCTGTTCTGTTTTCGGTAGTGCTTCAGCAACTTCAATTTCAATCTAGAATTCAAATATGAGAAAAGATATGTGTCACAAATAAAAACGAATCATACGGTTGATTTATTGATGACAACCGTAGATGGAGTCAGCGTAAGAATTTTCGTCATACCAAATGACGAAGTCACGATATCAATACAGATCTATTATTTCATAATTCGAAAAAAAAAATTGTTCGAGATGATTTTCAATGATTTTTTTTACCATATAGGTTCTATCATTGGATACTTTACAGCTAGCCATTCCGGTACTTTTGATCACATCAAGTGAAAAGCCTTCAGACCATTTTGACACTGCATCGTGTTGTTCCATGCTGAAGAGACGTATATGACACTAGAATACCGAGATATTTGTCATTCGTATTTTTTTTGAAATTGCTAATCNTTTATTTATGATAGGCATTGTATAAGTATTTACTGTCGTGTCAAGCTAACTATCTCGACTTAAAAAGACTAACGAACAATGAATATATTTTTTTTTTTATCTATTCAACATATTTAATCAAGATTAGTTTCCTCTAGCATGTCACCACACATGTATTCCTAGCTATTGTGGTCTCGAGCAAATTCACACAATATAGAATAAAACTAATTGGTGAATACAAGGAAAGTATTGAAGAACGTTCGAGGAAATCCAATAACAGAAGTTAAATCAGTATTTTGTTGTAAAAATCAAAACTCTAGAAATACGTATAACTCATTAATTCTGAACTTTGAATTTTGCCTGTTTTTATTATTTTAGTCATCATCAAACAAATATCAAGATTGAAGTATTGATTAAAGAACTATCTGAACATTTTCATGTATCTGATACAAATCAACTTCACATTCCTTGACTTAAAATGAAATTAAACACAGGAATAAGGCATCAAATGAAAAATGTACTATGATATTATTCAATTTATTGCTGTCGACATGTTACTGCTAGTTTACTGATAAGCAAAGCATTACTACTAATAATTGATCATGAGCGATGAGTGATGCCATTTGATCAAAATGATTATTTCTTCCACAGATAAAATTCGTTTATTCAGACATGTTCAAGAACTGATGATCATCTGCTCATAGTTCAATATATGTATTCATCTCAAATTATTTCGTTTGTGTATACTTTTGAACAAATATTGAACTAGTATGATTATGAACCTGAATTTATACTTGTTAATTTTGAAAGTACCAAAGCAATTTTTTTTTTATGCCATTCGAAAAAGTATTTTTTATACGAATTTTATTGGTCAGCTTAGCAATTACTCTTGCTATGAATGTAGGATGTTTATTTCATGTTGAATAGTATTTATAGCGAGAACTACATGCATAAAGACTTCGAAATAAGTACACTAATAATAATAACTTTTGGTGGAAACTAAGATTATTTTTCAATTGTGAAAGAGTCCATTAACGTGTCTTGTTCATGCATTTAGTGATGTAAAACCATAAATTAAGGGAGGCAAAGCAAAGTTCAGTTCGCATTTATTAAATGTCTATAAAATAGTTCTATAAGACTTGCTGTGATCAAATATTGTTGTCCGAGGTTGACATAATGCTTTTAGCAACCATATATCAATGAAATACTCTTCGATTGTCAAATTCGCTAAATGTATCTTACGTAAANAAAATTCGGATTTACAGGTGATGTCAACAAGCCATTGATACTAATTACTGTGTCATTTTCTCGGTAGCGAAGTCTTTCCATAGCAATTAAACAAAGTCGATCATTATTATTAGTAATAAATGGTTCATGAACAATAATAAAATCTGCAAGAGATGCATTGAAGTCGATGTCGAATGTTTTCATTGTAGCTCGAGCAATCATTGATAAAAGTGTAATACGAACAAATGGTTGACTATCGTTCGATAAATCCGATAGAGACTCTTCGATGAGTAGATGAATCTATAGATAACTCTAAATTATGTAAAACTTTATATACATTTAACTTACTCGTGGAAGTTCAAAAGTAGCTTCAAGTTCTACTATTTGCTCTTGTAAATCGACTTTTTTCTTGACGATCTCTGCTAGCGTCTGCTCATTTGTTTTATCTTCCGCTTCGGCATTAGCTGCTTCTTGCAAGATTTTTTGTACTGGTGTCATACTTTCCACTGCTTCCAATGTTTTTTTCGTGTTTCGACGAGGCACAGTGACCTCGAACGTTGTTGACTGTTACAATTCGACCAACATAAGTGATATCAAATTGATAATAAAAAGAAAAAGACATTTACTAACCTCTACGAGTATTTCAGTTTCTACTTCTTTTTCTTTCGATTCAGGAAATGGTATGGATTGAAAAAGTTTGATAATTTCGAAAATATGTGTATCAGACAATCGACCATCAATAGCTGAAATTTTTACATCGATCTTCCAACTAACACCATAAGAATTGAAAAAAGTTTTTCAAAATTATTGAGAAAAATAATTGACAACAGAATTCTAACAATTCTGTTTCTAACACCTTTTACATACTTCTAGGGAAACTAGGTGAGTCATTTCAAAGTTTTATTTCTCTAGCAAAACAATCGCCACTTGCCTGTGAGACATAATTCTATCAGACAACTCATATTCCATAAGAGATAATTTAGAAGAGAACTTCTCTAAATTGCCATTGTTCTGTGAGGCTACACTAAGACATGGGTTTATAAGTGCCGTGCTCCAACAGCTATACTTATGGAAGGAAGTTTGTGTTAAAACAATTTTTTTCGTTAATTAATAGAAATACGCATAGTCTTGCGCTTTTCATTGATTTGTGTTCCTTTTATACAAAATGAGTCTTTACTTTCTCTGAAAAGTTCTAATCTTGAGGGTGGATTTTTATTCTATAGGAGGAGGAGTACTCTAACAAATGTCTTTCAATCCCATTAAAGTGCTTCACATTTTAATCGCAAAGAAATTATATTGAAAGGTTTTTAAGCACGAAAAAAAAAGAATTACAATAAGTTTTTAAGTAGAAAATGCTTCAAACATCTGAAAAATACCGAAAAGTAAGATGGAGTACATGTCAGCCCGACAAAACGCTTCAAGTACGAGGAAATTGAGAAGAAAACTTGAAAACTGAAAGTAGTGCAAAAATGAAAGTGATGTCCATGGCTTATATTGACAAAAGATGAAATAAAAAAAGATTGCTTTTTGAACTAACATCTGCAATGTCAACAAAAAATTGTAAATGAAGTCTCAATTTTTATATCCGAAAATTTCGAAATATACTGAATACCTAAACGTGTACCTATGCCANTGAACTCAATTCCTGTGATTTCTAAAGATATTATATCACTCTGAGAGTAGAGTCAGTGGTCACCGACTAGGGTCGCATACAGTATGGTCCATGCTAACTTAGCACGCCTGTATTTTCTCCTTGCAATTTAGTGATAAAAAACACAGTGAATATACCTTTTCACTTTTTGAGGTACACATAACACTCGGATTTAAATCCGAGGTTTTCGCATTTATTTGTCAATATAAACACTCCAGGACCAGTCGGAACTATGATGTTAGCCAAGCAAATAGCAGAGAATTTTCTTCGAAGTTGTTCTTCGTGTGAGAAAAGGCTATTTTCAATTTTCAGTTATTTTTTAATTCATGCCCTCTTTCAGGTATTTTACTCAGTTAGGCAGGTGAGTACTCGAGCATCTCTCTTGTTACGGACTCTACTATCGCCTGACGTAATATCAATAAATCTTATATACTTCCTATTAGTATTATGCACGAACAATCAAACTAAATAATCACTGTTATGCTGATGGTAAAGAACTCAGTGCTTGCGACATTCCTATATAATTATCATTACTGAATTAGTAGTTCGGAATTTTCACACGCTCTAAGATCAAGATTAGCATTCATTTGAAAAGATTTTGGACATCAATATCCTATTAAACACCTTTGATTAGACAATCCGGTAAGATCTGATTCAAAGAAGAAACCAAAGAAAAAATCATTTGATATTTTCAAGCTAAGACAATGCAGAAAAACTGTCACGGATCTTGCTAATATTTCGAAAAAGTAATATCATGACTGTAGAACGTTAATTTGGATAGATATTAAACACTAGAGAAAAATTCTTTTTGAAAGAACATACCACAAATGTCAGCACGGATTTTTTGCTACCCGATACGCTATGATACAGGCGGCTCGGCTTCAGTTCGACTTGTTCGACAGTCTAAATGCAAGACAGACAATTAAAAATAAATGAATACAAAAATAAATTGATGATGGTTGAAAATATTTAATTTTTATCCGATATTGACCGTTTATTTCGATACATAGAATTTCGTCTCCTACAATTTTTTCTTTTCAATTCATTCCATTTTCATTTTGTATCATACTTTTGCCAAGACCAAATTCTACCTATTTATAATAGGTATCATATAAATATTTATCGTCATGTCTAGTTAATTATCGCCATTTTTAAAGGCTAACGAAGAATGAATATATCGCTTTTTTCTAGTCTGTCTATTTATCAAAATTAATTTTCTTTGTTATTTCACCACATAGGTATTTTTGCACAATATAGTATAAAACAAAATAATCAATACAACTGAAGTATTAAAAAGTTTTTGATGAAACTCAATGATATTTTATTCAAGATATTTGTACATTCAATATCGAAAAAAGGAAGATAAATCTGTATTTCATTGTAAAAATCGATATTGTAGAAATAGGTATAACTCATCGATATTAATCTTTAATATCGAAGTATTAATTAAAGAATCATCTGAGCATTCACATGTATCTGATACAGATCGAATTCATATTCTTTTACTTAAAAATAATATTGAAAAATATGAATCCACCATCAGATGAAGGAAGTTATTTGATATTATTCCATTTATTACACTCGACTTCATTTAATACTGACTCATGGATGGTACATTTGATGCACGAATACTTCTTTTTTTGTCTTTGTTAGATAAAATTCTCTTATTCAGATATGTTCAAGAAATTATTATTATCTATTCATAATTCAATGGAATGTATTCATCTCAAGTTATTCCACTTATGTATACTTTGTTGATTTGAAATAACATAAATAATATAATAATATTTTTGAATATCTTTTGTACCACCACGATTATGACCCGAAATCTATACTCGTGAATTTTGAAAGTGTTTTATCAAATCACCCGAAGCAATGTTTTCGGAAGCCATTCAAAAATGTTTTTTTTTTATACAAATTTTATTGGTCAGTTTAACAATCATTTTTACTGTGAAAACAGGATGTTTATTTCATTTTGAATAGAGTTTATAGCGAGAATTACAGTCGGGAAATCTTCAAAACAAGTACAGTAATGATGATAATTTTTGGTGGAAACTAAAGAGAAAACTTATGACTCTGGTATTTGTATCAGTTTCGAATATTATGAAAGATTATTTTTCAATTGTCAAAAATCCAACAATGTAACTGTTAGATTGATTTAGTGGTGTAAAACTATAATTGAATGGAGTTAACAAGACAAAACACAACTCACATCTATAAAACGTCTACGAAACAGATCTACAAGACTTACTGTGCTCAAATAATCCTACTCAAGATTGATATCATGCTTTTAGCAATCGTATATCAATGAATCATCCTTCGATTGACAATCTAGAACCGATAATGTTATTCAATTAAATCATGCACATGAATGATCATACATCAAAGGTAAAAACAAATTTTGTGAATCCTAATGGAATACTGAATATATTCGCATTGCCTGATAATATTAATAACGTAGAGGAATATTTGACTTAAATATGTGTCAACTTGAAAATAAACATTTAAATTCATTAAAATGAGCTTTATATCATGGTAACATAATTGCAATAGTTAATCACAATTTAAAACGAAATTTAACGGGACGAATAAAAGTAAGTCATGTGTGGAACGATCTTTCATTCTAGTTCATATTTAAAATTGAGAACAAAACAAAGTCTATTCTACTTACGTCAATCCAACATTCTACATCAACCGATAAAAGATTAATGAGATGGAGAGCCAGTTTGACATAGATATGAAATGAAGTTCGTATAGGTTCATCAGTATTCTCTGAATAAGCTTCCTTCGATTCTTTGTAGAACTAATAAAAACAAAACAACTCTTGTGAAAACAAAACTACAATTTGACAATCAAGAAACATACGACAATATTAGCATCTTTGCCATTTTTCATCTTCAATACACGATCAGCAGAAGACTCGATTTCCCAATCGAACGAAATAAAATCCTGAACTCCATCTGTAGACTTAGCTCTTCATGAAATCTATCATTATGAATACAGAGAAGAGAAGAGAAGAAAATCTTACTCATCGATAGAAATAAATAGACGTGGATTCATGCGCACATAAAGCAGCTCAATTGGAAGATACAGCTCTCCATTGGCTTCGATGCGAGCTACTTCACGATATGTTCCTATTTCAACCGAATCGATATCCAAAATCATCACTGGCATTGTAGCTCTGTTGAACATCTTAAGAGAGGAAAATAAAAGTGAAACAAATAATAGTGAGTTCAAGAAACGAAGTTTACTTTGATGATTGAACTTAGAACTATTCGTCGACGATCATTGTATATTTGAGAATCACAAAGTAGTTGAACAGGCCAATTTGGAATGGGTGAAGGACCCAACTTAAATACTCGTCTCCATGTTTGATTGATATCTACTTTTTTGACTTCATAGCCGATCTAAGTAGTATATATATTTCAATAAAATAGCATTGAAAATGTGAAATTGTATTACTTTAACAGAAAATTCTTGTGTTCTATTAGCGATTTGTTCGGAAATAGCCGGAATTCGTGTCGCCGATAATCGTTCGCCAGGTACGGTCAATGGAATTGAATCATGGTGTTTGAGATGGATTGGAGTGTCTAATTTCTTATCCTCGAGAAACTTCGAAGTAAAATACATGCGAATGATTATTATTCAATGTAACAATCGATTGGTCTACCTCCACATCGCTTATATTATCAATGTAAACATCACATCCAGTCATGTTGTATATTGATAACAGTGATCGATCATCATCTTCATTCGAGGGCGATCGCTTATTATAAGCATCTTGGAACATAGTATAAAGATGTTGAGCAAGATTTAGCATCGTCTTGGTCACGGTGACGTTGAGTAGGTGGTCAGCTCGAACATAAATAACCTGTTTAGCATTCAAACTCTTCGTACCGTCTTTTTGTTGTTCTTTAGTATTCGATGATGATTTCGGGTCATCAAGTAAGAATCGTGACTGAAATAGTGTTGATAGAAAAACAAAATATCTGGATATAGTGAATCATGCATCTTCGTTCCCAACGATTGAAGTGGAAAGAACTCCAATAAGAATTACTCTTCGTATTTCTTTCTACACAATATAGTAGCATATTGCCTGAAAAGTTTTATTTTTTGAACAGCTATGAGGATTGATCATCATTACTGTTTAATACCGTGGTGACTTTTGTGGGACAAATGTACAAAGGAAAAAGTCAGCATTCAAAAAATCTCCAATCAAAAACACAATCACTGCAGAACAGATAATTGATCTGAAAAAAATATTGTGACTTGCTCGTTTTGGACTGATCGAAAAATTTCGTTCATAGATAATAAGACTGTTGCTGCTGAACTCCAACACATAAAAAATGATTAGAGCGACAAATCATGGAACACGTGAGAAAGGTGATGCTGTCCCATACCGTATCCAGTGCAGTTCTGGTGTTAACGATGAGAGACTCGATCACACACAAATGATGATGTAGACCGTGTGATATTTATACACGATTGAGTTGTAACCTTTTGATATGATTGAGATCCTAGCTATATTCGACTAATAGACATTGTTCCTTTTGATCAATTTGTTTATATGTTACTCCTCTCTGAGTGTTCCCCGTCCATAACACATCTCAGTTCTCTAACTCATACCGTCGCTGACTCGAGCGTCACCCTATAGAAAGATTGCATTTTATTAGAGATAAGTAGTAAGAAAACAAAATTTTGTAAGAATCAAAACAAAGGAAAAAAGACAACAAATAGTTCATATTGTAGAGCTCAACGTGTTCTGTCGAATTATATACCTTTCTCGTTCTTCTCTCTCTCTCTCTCTTTCTACTCTCATCCGTCCAAAATACTGAATAACAAACACTTGTTCATCTTCGCGAACAGCAACCTTATTTTTCAATCGTCTTTATCTGTCTACATGTTGAATAAGAGCAGAGATACTAAAAGGAAAGATCGTTTAGCCGACAAAAAATGGATAAAAATCTTATTCTGAGTGACTTTTCTTTTTGGCGAAAAAAAAAACGAATTTGACTCACTTTGTAGAATGACTTTTTGCATATTTCGTCGGAAATAACTTCGGAAGTATGCATCTGTTTTCGTTCCAACTTCTATTGTTGCTATACTTTTCAAAGTTGTAAACTACTTGAAAACTTAATCGTCTATCTCTTATCATTCTTATTCTAAATTCAAAAGCAATTTAATCAAATTGATTTTCAGCGGACTACGATGGTTCGTAGAACTTCATCTTTCGTATGATATTTCAAGTAATAGATAGTCAAGGTGAGTTACAACTTATATCATTGAACTCGCTTCATCTTGGTTAGCTACTCTACTTTTGCTGAAAACTTCGATTATGGATTTACAAATATCTGTTTTACCCACGTCGAATTTCAGTAAACTATAATCTGCTTTTCTATTAAAGATCGTTTTTCCAGGTTATGCTTGGGCTGAAGTAACATGTATTTCGGCTAATATGTAGTGAAGCGTCAGGCAGATTTTATTGTATAACATACATATATAATAAAATATAATAAAATGTACAGCTCAAATATTTTTTATGTCTATTATCAGTTTTTCGAGTCAATCGCAGCAAAAATTTGCAATTCATTGATGTACTTCGTCGTCGTCGTCGTTATCAGCAACAAAATGATTATGCTAATGATATCGATGCTGCCGCCGAATCAGAAATAAATTACCTATTGTTTTTCAAGTTTCTTTCTCGATTACTTTTTTCGAGAGTTTCTCTCTCCAAGTTTATGAGACATAATCTTGTGATGATAGCAGTTGGATATATAATTAACTGTCAACCTTTTGATTCTTTCATCTACAAGAAAAACTCATTTCAAAAGCAAACTCGACTATTTCACAGAGTGATAAAGTCCTCTCTCGAGTGAGCTTAGAGCATAGATTTTGAAGTATTATTCAATTCTTGAAAGAGAAGATAATGAAAATACCCCATTTGTTATGGTCACCTATTCAAAATTTGTTCTTGTTCGAAATCATGTGTACAGGTGAGTTAGTGTTCAATCAACTATAGGCTCAGATCGGCAAAAAATAAAGAAATGCAGCTTATTCATACTCTTATTTACCTCGTTGTCATTTTCTTCTTCTTCTTCTTCTTCGTGCTAAGAAAAGAAAAAGAACAAAAAAGTTGAAAAAAAATCAGACGAGTCGTTCGGTAAAAACAAATAATAAAGTAGCTTACATTTGAGGTCGAACATGTAATACACCATGGACAGACAACCTCACCACTTTCATTGATAACTGGTTCAATCAGTGGCTCCCACGCGAGTAAATTATCATTGAATAAGGCTAGTTCAACATGAATTTCGGAAGAAATACTTATCTGAATAGAGAAAGAAAAGCCATGAGATAAGCAATCCGGCTAAACTCATATACATACATCACTGGACCAATTTTTCACGTCAACCAACAGATTGGAGAGACACATAGCTATCACTGGTTTAGTTGATGAACCTGTACCAAGTTCAAGTTTAATTTCGATTATTTTCAAATTCAAAATAAGCTAAAAATAGAGATGTCAAATTAGATTGAGTTTATGAGTTTTTTGTTTTCAAACCTCTTGAGAGAGGATCTTCTGAGTTTGAATTTTCTCTTCTTTTTCCTTCTGTTTGTTTGCTTCTTCAATTGCAGCTTTCTTATGTGAAGGGGTGCCAGTAGTTAATTCCAAAACATCCATCTGCTCGATTAATTCCTGTTTTTCTTCGTAATCTATAAAAAAAAAGAAGAGTATAGTATATGACAACAAAAAAATAGGCAATTGCTCTGAATTATTCAACAAACCTTTGATAAACCAAAAGCTTGCATCTTTGAATGGTTTTGGATAAAAAATTCCTTTCGAATTAATTTTTTCTGTTTCATTTCGAACAGGAGTCTGAAAAAGAATACTTATATTTAAGGAACTAACAATGTACACTCTATTACTTGAAGTTTGCCCATTGATTTAACCAGACTAAGAACTGTACGAACTGCCGCCGGAGGGATTTGAACAGTAATATCCCCAATGCGTACATCGATTTTTTGCTGTTCTAAGTTCATCATCAAAATGACATCGATATCGACTGGTTGCAAAATCTTTTAATACAAAAGATAGAAAGTGATATAAACGAAAGAAATATTGTTCTTACGCGATATTTAATCTTCGAATCTTCCAATTCGGCAAAATTTGAACCGTAAATAGTCAAATCTTTCAGCGAACCGTACATTTTCGTATTATCACCTACAATGTCCATGCGTATCTGAGTGGCAAACTGAACAAATACCATATTCACAAAGTGATTGTTCTTTTAAAATTCTTTTCTTTTTTTCACTTACATCAAGTACAAGACAGTTCGAATTGTTATCATGTTGATCTTCAAGTAAAATAATTTTCGGAGTGTTGATAACGACTTTAATTTTAGTATAAAGATAGCCATCAGCCTCGGATGATTCATCTTGGAATGCAGCTAAAATAGATTATTTCGGTTTGATGAGAAGGGAAAAGATGAAGAGAAGTCATACAGGGAGTCTCTGACATTCGCTTAGGAGATTGTGACGTAGATCCTGACACACCACTGAATGATCGACTCGATCGACGGAATGTTGATGTGGGTTTTGCTGGCAGCGGCAGATCATAATCAACATCAGACGGTGTTTCTGAATACATAATTGTTGAATGCGGTTTTTTCTCATCGTTTAATGACAGACTCGAGATGAAAAAGTCGTGTAATGCCATAAAATAATCTGGACTCATACAAATGTAAAAACTCTCAAGTTGAACTTTCACTAATAACATAAATGCTCGCAAAAATAAGAATTGTCAACTTTGTTCACCTACCTTGTCGAACATCCATTGATTGTTGTTCATTTTTTGTTTTGAATTTGAGAGTAACTGTGAACATTGGTACATTCGGATCGACATTGAAGCTTCGATCGATCATGCGCGAAACACCTGTGGATCCGTTTGTTTTACGTAGGTCCTCTAATAAGAGCTTCTGTATCTCTGCCTTACCATCGTAACTTGAATCGGACAGTTGTCGAAAGTGAGCTTTGAGCATTTCAAGTCGCAAATCAAGAAATTTTGAACTTTCGTTACGCGATGCGTGTCGAGTAGTCACATTTGATTCGCCAAGATAGAGTGTTATAGCAATCATTTTTATTTCAGCATTTAAATGGATTTTTTCCGAGACTTTATTACTATTAAAATTATGTTGGTTTTTGTTTGTGACCATAACTAGGTTTTGACTCGTTTGTCTGTATTCAGGCTGTTCTTCAACAACAGACTTTGATATCTTATGGTAAATCTTCTCCGAAAAGTTTCCCTTAAATACTTTCATCATACATGCATAATCATTTTTTGCTAGTGTAAACTGAATAGTATCCCAATTGGCTATAATAGAAATTTGTGATTCATGTTGAATATTTTCCGAATATAAGAGACGATCAATAGATGTACTGAGTTCTGCACATTTAAGCAGAACAATATCACCGAGAGTTTCATTGTTTTTGCCGAGTTTAACTCGGCTTGCAAATAAATTGTTCATGACTACTATTTGTTGCTCGACAAGTGAACAATTTGGATCACCGGTAAAATGCGTCTGTATCGTCAATTGACCCAAATTAATAAAAATTCCTTCATTCGAATAGGAACTTGTTGGAATGAATATACTCGGTGCATCGAATGCTACATCGAGACGAAGTTTGCGTGCTTGCTTTTGGAAATTTTCCATAGCTTCAGAAATGGCACTTGGCTGATTTGAAGAAGCGTTACGTTCAGTTTTTTTCGTTTGGAATGCATTGACCAGGTTCAAAATGAGATCTACATGCTTGTAGAGAAGGGCTATATTTACTTTAGTCAATTGTATTTTGACGTCACAATCGACATCGTCGAATGTTCTCTCATAATTTTTCGGATAATTGAATAGAGTAAAACCGATGCGTAACAGTTGGTTATCAACGCTTCGTTGAGATATAATATGACGATAACGTGCTTTTGGATTAGGATCGAAGACACGCAAATCGGTAAGAATCAATTGGGCCGATGTTTTTTCGGCCGAATTCAATATATGGACACGAAGACCTTGACTTTGAATATCAAGTATTTGGAAGAATTCGAGTCCAATTATCGCACGTAACCCTTTCAAATCAACCTCGAGTTGAAATGTCGGCATCACTGATGCCGGATCCTTCTTTACGACTTGTTTCGGTTTCGGTTTCGATGCAGCTCGTTCCTTTGCCATTCTTTGGTCAGGTAAATTATGTTGTTCTTTCGAGATTTTTCCCATGAGATCATTTTTAAATCGAATAATAGACAGAAGTGCTTCCAATTGTAGCATCAGAACAGATTTGCCAATATGCACATGTATCTGATTTTCAAGGCTATTGTAAGGAGCAGATGTAAACTTTGGATTTGCAGATGATGTCAGCAAGCCATTGATACTAATTAATTTATCATTTTCTCTATTGTGAAGCCGCTCCATAGCTATTAAACAAAGTCGATCATTATTGGTAGTAATAAATTGTTCATGAACAATAATAAAATCTGCAAGTGATGCATTGAAGTCGATGTTGAATGTTTTCATTGTTGCTCGAGCAGCAATTGATAGAAATGAAATACGAACAAATGGCTGATAATCGTTTGATGAATCCGATAAAGACTCTTCGATAAGCAAATGAATCTACAGATAACCTCAAATTATATAAAACTTCACAAATATTTTACTGACTCGTGGTAGTTCAAAAGTAGCTTCGAGCTCTATAAATTGATCTTGTAAATCGGCTTTTTTCTTCACGATTTCTTCCGGTATTTGATTGTTTGTTTTCTCTACCAGCTCGGCACTGGCGGCTTCTTGCAAGATTTTTTGTACTGGTGTCATACTTTCCACTGCTTCCAATGTTTTTTTTGTGTTTCTATAAGGCACAGTGACTTTAAATGTTGCCGACTGTTACCGTTCAACAGACACAAATAATATAAAATCAATGATAAAAAAATACTGTCACTAACCTCTGCCAGCATTTCAGTTTCCACAGGTTCTTCTTTCGATTCAGGAAATGGAATGGATTGAAAAAGTTTGATAACTCCGAAAATATGTGCATCAGATAGTTGAGCATCAATAGCTGAAACTTGTGCATCGATTTTCCAACTTACAATAAGAATCAAAAAAGATTTTTCAAAATTAACGAGAAAAATAATTGAGATCAGAACTCTAACAGTCCTGTCTTAACCAAATCTTAAGTACTTTGGAAACTAGGCGAGTCACTTCAAAGTTCTACGCCTCTAACAAATAGTAGCAGCTTGTTTGTGAGAAATAATTCCAGCAGAAAACTGGTATACCATAGGAGATAACTTAGAGGAGAACTTTTCTAAATTGTCCTTCTTCTATGAGACTACGATGAGACATCAGTTCACTCTTGATTCATCCTGCCCCACTTCAACTCACTCCGCCACAGAAAAGAACTCCATCAGGTGTCTCTTTGTTCTGCAAGCTATACGTTTGTGAGAAAGTTTGTGTTGAGATCAGTCTTTTCGTTAATTAATAGAAATATGCATATTCTTGCACTTTTCATTGATTTGTGTTCATTTTGTACAAAATAAGCCTCTAATTTCTCCGAAAAACTCTAATATCGGGTAGGAGATACTATAAGAAGTATCTTTCTATGCCGTTAAAATACTTTGATCGTGCTCCACTTAGTAATCGTGAAAGGATTGTCATGAAAAATCTTTTTAAGGGCGGAAAAAGTGAATTTGAATCAATTTCTTTTAATTTAAAAATATTTCAAACACTTGAAAATACCGAAAAATGAGAAGAAATACAAAAGTCACTATAAGAAGAAAAAAATTAGATCTCTTATCAAGTTTTGACCGCGTAGTCTAGTTTTTTTCATCGTTACTAGAGAAGTGTCGATGGCTTGCATTGGCAAGATATGAAATGAAAAAAAAAAATCGACTTTTGAACTAACACACGCCATTCGAACAAACAATAATACTATTCATCACAGCAATATTTTGTTAGAGTTCAACAAGAAAGATTCTATGAGACGTATTTGCCATTTTTTCAACGAAGTCTCGATCTTTATGATTAAAAATTTCGGAATATGCTGAGTGCCAAAATATGAATCTGTGGCGTAAATATGTCTCATACTCAACGAGAATAGTGTCAAGAATGTAACGAAAAAAGTATGCCTATAATTGGAAATCTATGTCGTAATGTATCATGATTCGTAAATAGATGCAGTTCTTTCTTGACATTGAATGTGTTACTTTGCTTCAAAAATAGGTTTTCTTAACATGTCTCGTCTGAATAAAAGTCATGAACACCCTCTATTAGTAGTAAAAAAGATCAGCCTACCCAATCAAAACTTAACGAAATATCTCATTTTTCTTCCGTATATTGACTTCTAAGGCACTATGCAATTCTAAGTATTGTTCCGTATTTTCTTATACCTAACATATTTTGTCGTTCATTTCAATATTTTCAAGTATTTGAAGTGTTTACAAATTTGGAAACTAGTTTAAAACTCGATTTTACCCTTCTTAGTTATTCTTCCAGTTGAAGATTTCTGCCTTTGTGTTCATTTTGCTTTTTGGACATTTAAAATTTTATAGATCTTCTCGCTTTCATTCGTTATGTTGAATTTGAAAAACTATTACAGATAAAAATCGGATCTTTTTTCTCTTGTGAAAATCTAGAAAAATTCAGATGAATCTGATATGAGTTTTTTAAAAATCTCAAAATCCGAAAACTCTTTCTGTCACCCGAAACGATAGGCTTCGTTTTGGTCGGAGTTTTCAGCGAATTCCGAGATTTCAATAGGTTTCTCAAAAAAAGGAAAATTTCCATAATTGACACCGTTTTCCAAATCGAGCAATAATCGTTGACATAGAGACTTTCGAAATCTCTAGTAAACTTAGGGATATCTTCTTCTTCTTCTTCTTCTCTACATGTCTGTGCATGACAACCTTCTGAGACTTCTATCAACTTTTTGTTGTACTTTCAACGTGCTTGTTCTAAAGTTTCTGTAACTTCTCTTTTCCATTTCCGCTAACTTCCGGCATTTTCTTATCTTTGGCTTGTGATTTCGTAAATTCGCTTTGTTTACTCCTTGAAAATCGAAAGATTTTGGCCTTTCTCAGGCAAGTTTTGATTTTTGGAACTAATGAGACTTAAAACATATCTTAAGGTATATGAAAGTCATTCATTATCGAAAGATCAAGAGCATAATTTTTACTGAATTTGTTGTAAAATGTAAAATTGAAAAGATTGCCAAGACAATCGAGAGGCTAACAAGAAAAAGTGATTCGAATCTAACACATTTCTTCATCAATTCTCTCAAACAAAACAATTTCAGTTGGTGCAATTCAGCTATTAGAAATCTAATTAAGATTACGCACGCCGGTAATAAAGCATTTTCGGTGTAAATGCATTTGTGTATATTGACAAAAAGTGTGATTGGCTTGATCAAATTCATCAGAGAATCGTGCCCAATACTTGAATTAAAATAAAGTAATTGGATATTCTCCAGTCTGAGTTTTAATGGAAAATACGATGATTCGCAAGCATCATCAATACTCTAGAAGAGAAACGATTTGATTATGAAAAATGGCAATATTCTTCATACTGTAATATTCTCAGATGTTTTTCCTATTTCTGTTTCCTTGTCCCTGTAAGTAGGACCACATTTAAATGTAAAATGACCGAAATCCAAACAGAGCACGGAGCAACCACTACAAGAAAAAAAAACGCGAATAATTGCTTTCCAATTCAGATAACATTTTTCCTACCATCGGTAAACACCATTTTCTGGCAAGATAAAATAGAACGATTGAAGATCAATATTAATGTCCGATGTTTGAATGTTTTTTAGATAATGATTAAAGAGAAAATGTGTACGATATTTGATATCATTATATGTTGAATAAGCTATTTCTTTTATGCTGAAAAATCAAACAAAAATCATACATGAATAAATACTAAATCAGTTATTTTTACGCTTGAAAATTACGCTTCCTATCAGGCTGGAAACATTCGACAAGTTTGTTGATCGTGAACTGAATTGAAGAGAAAAATATAGGCAAATGCATAGAGAGATTTTTTTCTAAAAGTATTACAGCATCATAAGTAATCTCAAGCGACTGTAAAATAACTTGTATACGATTTTCAAATGGTCTATCCAATGGATTGGTTTCATATTCGATATGTAATAGATTTTTTTGTTCTAATTCTATTTTATTTGCCGGTTTAGCAAGAACGGGACGAATGTCATTCAACTTCTCTATTTGGATCGCGTCGGCATCAATACCAAATATTTCGAATGAGCCCAAATCGATTACAAGTCTAATAGAATTAAAATAACTAGAAAAAAAACATAGAATTATCAACAACTTACAGAAAATCCGATTTGGTTGGACGCCGTTTGAATATCAAACCAACATCGGGTACAGCGGCAGAAGTAATCACTTTGAATCTACAAGAAAACAAAACAGAAGAAGTAAAATACAATATAATCTTCCAACGTCAACACTCCTAATATGAACGTTTTCGTATAGCAGTAACGCTCAGGTTTCCAAAAAAACAAAAAGAAGTTTCGAAAATGTCCGTTTTTTTTAGAAATCTGCTCATATATATGCTCTATAGTGGATAAATATAATTCCTACCGAGGAAATTTTTGCTGGAAATAGACTTCACTATAGTGGACACCTTCATATTCTTAACTGTGAATGATTTTTTCCTTTCTTAAAAGCTAGAACAATCTGTTCAATGTGAACACTTTTTTGTTTTTGTTCGAATGGGCACTCGTCGTTGACTATGTGCATGAACATAGAGTTCAAATTAACGTAGTGAGCATGTTTTTTCTCTCAATTGTGCATACCTTGCAAGTTTATCTCTTTCATTTATACAAAGCACGCGCGCAAAATTATCTCGTATTGCATGATCAATTTAGAATTTTCATGTTTTAATGAATACAATGGCGTAGCAGAGCATTCATTCAGTATAATCATCGATCAGACAGAGAAAATCTAATCGAAACTGGTCATGGCCACCCACGCTTAAGTGATCACAGTGATTGAAATGCTCAAAAAGTTCAATTCTCGGTCACAAAATACTATTTCGAAGAAATAATAATTAAAATAAAAATAAAAATGAGTACTAAGAATTGTTAACTTACTCTTCGATAATAGGAACACCGTTCTATGAAAGCGTGGGCAGACCTCTATATAGTACAAACTTTTGAATATTCTCACAAATGTTCACATAAGAGAGATTTTAGCGTAATCAAAATGCATCATTTACTGTGAATCATTTTCATTGATATTCGACCAGACGTTGATTTCGAGCATATTCAGTCGAATTGACAGATCAATGTCAACATACTAAAATTCAAACATTGATAATTTAACACTGTAGCTACAGCAAATACATACTTACTTCTGCTGGATAAGCTAATGATGTATCACCTTCTGCATAACCAATGGCATCGTACAATTTTTGCTTTTCCTCAGTTGCTGTTGCACTGTCAAAATCGAATTCTGCGAAAAGAAAATAATGGACATTTTGAAAAAAAAACAACACAGTCGGATAAATCTACCTGGATTCTCTTTATTCGAATCACCACTCCACCAACTGGTCAATGTGTCCCACCAACTCTTTTCTTTTTTTTCTGCCTTCTTCTTTTTAATCTATAGAATATCGATAAAAAAACATATCAAATACAATTAACTAAATCTCTACCTCAATTTCAACAGTTCGACGAATAAAAAACAAATTGAATACATCGATCTTTCTCTCTAGTTCCTAAAATATAAATAGAGGCAAGAAGTGAAACAACGAGTGTTAGATTGTGTTACTTCAGCACGTTGCCTTTGCTTTTTGCTTGCATCACCAGTCAGTTCCTGGAAGTAAAGTTCATGATACTCGCGAAATCGGTTCAGGCTAGTCTTGATATTTTCCCATTTGTACGATGCGAGTCGCGGTCGGACTTCTTCGTTCAAAATAGCAGCATAGGCAAATTTCCATCTGCGAAAAGTAAATCAATATCAATTGAAGAATATGTTAATTTTGACTTTTCACATCTCTCACCGTCGCAAACTTGGTTTATCCGTAGCGTCATTTTCGATCATTGCATAATATTTAATGAATTTCGATTCCAAATTGAGATGATCTTGAAATTCGAGTAGATCGAGTAGATCGCAATACTAAACAAATATTTCAATGAAATTACACATTATTTGTCTTTCTAACCTGATTTCGATTGATATTTAAACTAATATGGTCCAAATCGATTCTAGCATCAAATGCCGGTCGGGCGTAATCCTGTTCACGAGGTGTTGCAGCAATTTTTAATTTAACGTTTATATTTAGTGGTCGTAGAACTAAAAAAAAGTTCGCATTTAGTCAAAAGAGCATGAGAAAAACTCACTGTAAGTCATGTGATCTGGTTCTGTAGACTCGTTCTTGACAATTTGTGCTTGTAATTTATCCTATAGTTGTGCCAAATAATGACAAATAATCAGATGAAAACACTTATAAAAAACTTACGATAATGCTCTCTTGTGATAATTCTGCCCGAGACTTGACGTCAGAATTCCAATAAATGGACAAAGCATTCAGTTCTCCTAACTGAAGAAATCAAAGTAAATTAACGTGTTTGTTAGGGTAACAATAGTTTACCTTGTACATAATTGGCGATTCTTCCTTCGATACCACAGGCTCCC